ACTGCATAATACCAATTTGCGTGCGGTTAGCAGTGTATTTGCGATGCGAAATGAAAATAGCGATGCGTCTACCCGGTAATAAGAAAACTGCGATTTGCGCTAAAGACGCAAAACGGCAATGAATTTGCGCTAGAGTGCCTTTGAGATGACCTCATAATATCGTTTTGCGTACGATTCGCTAAATATTTACGTTGCGGTTGCGATTTGCGGTGCGTCGACCGGATAATGAGGCCTCCGGGTTGCGGCAAGGAAATAACATTTTGGGCAGATAGCAGCAGCGGTAGAATCCTATCAACTGATTAACCCCTATGAGAAATAAATGCAAAGATGATTGTGATACGTTATTGCTTGAAAACGAACCTTGCAGCCAATGTTCACAAAAATACTCAGATTACACAAATATAGGCCTAATAATTATTAATCCGTGTTGCCCCATTGATTCACAGTAGCCAATCAAATTATTGCTTCAATTCTTACCGTAATTGCCGGAAGTCTCATGACAAAATAAAAACTCGGCAACTTTTTCCACAAAATGGGTTGCTGTCAGAGCAACGAAGACGATACAGACTATAAGGTAATTCTTGAAATGTAAATCAATGTGCAAAGAAGACTATGGAGACTAGGGTATATCACCTACGATAACCTAAACAACACATATTTCAGTTTGTTTTCTAAAAAATTCAGGTATCGAGGCGAACCTAGATCTAGTTTAGAGTAGATTTCATGGCCTGACTTCGTCGGTAGAACTTGAAAAATAAGATTTACCTGAAGATTAGGAGTCCTACTTACCCTCTAGAGGTTAGAATACACATTTTAATGAAACTCTATCACCTTTGTTGCGTCAACTATAGAGCATTTAGCACAATATCCAAGAGGTAAATTATGGATCGTGAAAATGAATGATTTCCTAGTAAGTTCCGGAAGTTTCAATACAATAAATTACCGAACATTTGTGAAAATTGAATCTTTGTTTGTTGATTTTATCATTTACACGCGCGTGCATTCGTCTACACTTTGGTCTAAATTATAAAGCATCACAAACAGGTCCTAGAATATTAATAGACTAATACAGCTGACGACCCATTCATACTTTCCGCGCAGCATTTCATTCAGACCAATAGTTCAACTGTAGATCATGCACTATTTCTAGCTTAGAACAGGCCATCCTCCTCTGCCCTGTCCTAAACTCGTCTGCAGAAGAGACCACAAAACATTATTTTCAAATATTTTAATTATTTTTACATCAGACATGGTTGGATGATATGTCACAAAATTAAAGTTCAAGGTCATTACAGTATTTCGTGATAGAGGCAAAGCCGTCACGGAAGTAAACATGAGGAAAATGGAAAAGTCCAAAAAGCATTAACACAAATTTCAATCAAGTACTGTGCTTATGCTTCATCATGAACAAAACATAGCTGATATGGTTTCATTAAAATGTGTGTTCTAACCTCTAGAGGGTAAGTAAGACTCCTAATCTTCAGATAAATCTTATTTTTCAAGTTCTACCGACGAAGTCAGGCCATGAAATCTACTCTACTTCGGTCCAAAGCCTTCTCTATATTCCGGCTTTGAGGAGGAAGATTGAGCTGCCTTAGTATTATAAATATTGTAAATCATTGTGTCACACGCACAGTAAATATGGCATAATAATATGGAATATACCTTTATGTATAGATTTGAAGAACATCAGCTCACATCCCCGTCTGAATCTATTGTTATATTTGATTTCTTTAAGCGAGAATAATTTCAAATTTTATTCACGTCCATAACCGGAAGCCATTTTTAGCTACAGCGAGAAAATTTCACCATGTGTCAAACTCTGAAATGAAATTTTGAAATATCTAAATCCAGACAAGCAACGCTTCATCCTAAATATGATTAATATTCTTAAAAATATTTATAAAATTTATTAAAAATGAGTTCTAGGTGCGTGTAGGTGCGTGTAGCACCTTTTCTAGAGTACATACGAAATCAATGAAGTTACGTCTAGCTGTAAGCTAGAGACTCAAGTAAGATCTAGTCAGTCACTGACACTGGTTGTCAGTGACACGATAGTGGGAAGTTCAATACATTAAGTAATAGATATCAGAGTTTTAAATTCTGTTCACTGTGGTCAGTGAGCACTAGCCTAGACTATCAGCCACAGCATGGTCACAGGAACCTGTATCAACACCTGCAATCGATTGGTATAGGGCGAAGGGGTGTAACGTCGACACCATTTTTGGGTAACTTCGACATGTGGGGTAACTTCGACACCTTGTTGTTTATTTGCTCTAATTTCCGATCTAGGGGGAAGCCATGTTTTTTTTCTCGCATGGATCGAGATCTCCCGAGATTTTAATTTTTCCAGAAATCAAACATGGCGGAAAACGGAAATTCTACTTATAATACGTAAGTGTCGAAGTTACCCCGTCTATTATGTCGACATTACCCCACACGTCGGCAGAGACTACCCTTAGCCTGCTTCATTTTAGCGAAATTTCAGCTCAAACTCGTGACAAATGCATTATGCATGCGCTGGTGTGAAGCCTCGGAGACACTCATTTTGGTAAATATGATTTATGGTGTATACTTTGCTGCAGTTTGTGGGAGTTTGGGACATTAATTGTAAAAATTCAAGAAAATATGCCAATTAAACGACTGATCAATTAATATCCACCAGCACTGTAACAAAACCTGGAAGAATATTCACATCCTAAAGTTACTCTATATAGTATAGAAGTACTCCCTCATCCAGATTGAAA